TATGATTGTCTGTACTGTTACTGTTGAATTCTAAGACTTCTTTGCGTGTTTGGATATTTGTTATCCAAATATACAAAAGATGTTTGATAAAGTCACCCTTTATCAGATATATCATTGGCAAATATTTTCTCCTAGTCTGTGACTTGTCTTTTTGTTCTCCTGACAGTGTCTCTTGCAGAGAAGACATTTTTAATTTTAATGAAGTCCAGTTTATCAATTCTTTCTTTCCTGGATTGTGCCCTTGGTGTTATAATACAGGCCATTTTTTGACTGAAACATTCAGACAATTAAGCAGGTGAAGGATTTAAAGCATAATTTATCTGAATTATCATTGCCCTAGTCGTATACCGTATGCCAGTGATAGATATCTTTACTATGCCTATAGTTCAGCAAGTCCAATATTAGTATTAAACTTTAGCTTCTTGTATTAATTCATGTAAGTACTGAAATATCATTGTTAAGAGCACTTTATAAATTAAAAATATAGGCTAGATATATGTCTTCTGAATATTCAAGTGAGAAAACACATTTTCACTATTTACTCTCAGGCTCAGTTTTACTTCAGGGAACCTCTTTGAAAATCCCTTTAAAGTGCTGAGTTAAAGGAAGGAAGAGAAGCAGCTAGGAGCTTAAAACTGGCTAAATTTACATATGTGAGTGAGTCTGCAAGGCTTGTCATATTCCATACACAGTCGGTGCGATCTGTCTTTTTCCCCCTTCTTACTCCACTCCAGTTAAATGAGGAGTTCAATTACAGGGCCAAATTCCCATTGACCTAGCTTTTTTATATTCTGAGAGAGATTAAAAGCCTGTTACAGCACAAAAGAGTGGCAATTAGGTCTCCTGTGATCAAGGAGTGAATGGTACTAGCGCACAAAGGTGGACATTTCCACTCTGCTAAGTAGGTAAAACATGAACTGAGTTAAGGAGAATCTTCTAAACATTAGTATCCCCTAGAAGAGGATTTGCCATTTCTCCTAGAAATTGCATACAGTCCTAGGATGAGGCTCAAATGAAATTACTGCAATTTAGAGTTAGATTGGAAATTGGAAAAACTTACACAGAAACTCTGCTCATGGAGAGAGGCCCTTGGAACAAATTAGAGCCACTGTAATGAGATAAAAAGCTCCCTCATGCACTCTGAACAGAACTCTCACGTACTGCAATGTGTTACTTTAGAATCAAAGCTATTGGCTATATAAGGACATAAACAAAATTATTGTTTTTAGCCTTATTTCAAATGTTCAGGTGCTTAAATAACAGTGGACCTTTTTTGTTGCTGTTGCTGGTAACAAAGAGTCAATCAATCTCACTTAAGTAATGGGGATTATATAGCCAGGATAAATATCAAAAGATTCAGAAATACAACATAAAACTAGCAGAGACCCAAGTAAGTGTACAGGTTGGCTGATAATGGAGTCTCTCTCTCATGGCATCTCTGATTTTTTTCTGAGTTCAAGTTCC